CCTCTTCCTCTCTTCGTCATATTCCCTCCTCCCCCCCCTACCCCATCGCGGCGAACGACAGGACCTCAGAAACAAGAGACGAAAAAAAGGGATGAAATAGAAGAAAAAAAAGTGGGGGGGGGGGGGGGGGGAGGAGGGAAAATGACGAAGAGAGGAAGAGGTGATGAGCCCTCAGATACTTTTCTTAAAACAAATCTATACGAAGAAAGAAAATTTTGTGAATGAAGAAGTGAAAGAACAGATGACAGGCGCATTTTCTTGACGCGTGGATTTAGCTTATATCCAAGCTAAGATTGTGCAGAGACAAATGAGCATGAGCTGAGTTGAGAAGAGCAGCAGAAAGAGTTTTTCTTAGAAAAGAATTTTCAATTTGTTTGTCACATGAAGATGAAGATGATGAAGGCTATTAAAATCAATTGTTTGACAGATTTTACAACACAAAAAAAGTTTTGTTGCTTCAAAAAGATGAATGAGATGGACAGTCCTCACACATTTTTTATTAAATTCCATATCGATTGATTCATGCAAATTAGGAAGAAATCCAACACCTGACATGAAAGATAGGAGCAAAGTCATGGAAAAAAAGACCGCGTAGAAGCTTTTGTTTTGTAAGGAATGCCTTAACAAGCTTCGTCCCATTTCAAGATAAATCAGCCAAATAAGGGGCAGAATGAGCAAAAGACTATTGACGTGGAAATAATTGAAGAAACTCAAGTTTGTCAAACAAACTGATTGAATATCAAACTAATCTTTGATCAATCAGTTAACACAACCGTTCTTTCACGTTCGCTTGATTTGAATGAATGAAAACATTTTTTTAAAAATGAGATAAGCTTACGTGAAACTTTCCGTAAGCTCTTATGCTAATTACATTCCACAGTACATCATATTTTGGTTAGAATGAGCAAAAGCTGAGATTAAGTGAAAGTTCCTTGGACATAATGTCATTAAATGGAAAATATTAGAGGAAGTTGAGGAAGATGACAACACATGGCCACTCTAAACGACAAAAAAACTTCTTTTTTTTCTGTTTATAAGAGAACAAATAAGAATAATAAACATTCAAAGAAGAAAAAATTCTTTTTTTTTTCTTTTAAAATAAAGATTCTGATCTGGAAACATTAATGAAAATCCCCTGAGGCTGGGAAGTTTTGAAAAAAATTGAAAGTTTTCATCGAAAACATAAGATTAAGGACGGCAAAGTTGAAGAGAAAGAACCTACTTGTTCTGCGTCGAAAATCTTTTAGCCGTTTTTTTGGTTTTTCGAAAATGTTTTTGCTGATTTGAGGTTTGTGGATGATGAAACAAAATGAAAAGAGTTGACAACGTAAAAGATAATAAGTAAGAAAACAAGAAAAAACATTATTTTTCCCCCTTTTTGTCAGAATAAACATATGAAGAAAGGGTTTTAAGAGAGGAATTGGGATATCAGTGAATTGAAGGAAATTCCAGGCTATGAGATGTCTCTTATACATTCATCTTTCTCTCTTTTTCTCTCTCTCATTATTCTTCTATATCTTTCAAAAACAACAGGAAAATAGGTCTAAGAGGGTCTATTACAACAGACAGCACGAAGAAAACAGATCAGCCGGTGGAAGAAAAGCTGAGGGGAAACTTTGTGAGAGTAAGATATACATATATAAATAGAGTGAGAGAGAGAGAGAGAGAGAGAGAGAGAGAGAGAGAGAGAGAGAGAGAG